GTAATTTGTAAACACTTATCTTATACTGCTCATTTTTTTCGAAACACAGATGTTTAAATTTTCACATTGTCTGAAAACGCGGCACTATTCATACTTGGCTAAAACGAAATTCTATTCTTTAGGTGTCTTAATAAAATTTTTGAGAAGTTTTGTAGTTTTTGGCATAAACTGCATTTGTTACACCGTAAAATTTGATTATATAAATTTAACTCGTACAATATAAATAAAAATAGGCTGCTTTAATCACAGGTAAAGAAGCGCTACTTAGCAAAATGTTGAGATGACGGCATCAGTTGTTTGGAGGGGATGAATAAATACATTTTTGTTAAAGTTTTACTGTCTTGCGAAAACTATAGAACCACACTTTGATATTTTCGAAAAAGTATCTGTCAACAGAACAAAATTCGTAGACACAATTTTTGGTGGTACTAAGATCCCTTTTTCGCTGGCTCAACAGAGTAATAAGTATTAAAGTGAAAGGATTTGCTTTGGGACAACAAATTCTGCCGCTTGTTTGCCAAATGTGAAATAATAATTAGTTGATGTTTACCGTTGACATGATTCATACGACACACCTTTACAACAAAAAATGTATTGCAATGTAACTGTTTGCCGCATATGCAGAATGACTTCAGGTTTTGGTGAAGAAATGTACGTACTATTCAAACCTAATCTAATAAAGTAGCCAACAGATGCACGATAGACATGAAAGAGACTTCCATTTCTGTATTCTATGAGCCATGAAATGCGAAGAAGGCAACGCATGAAATTAAATGTTTGTTAAAATTAACTCCACTGCAATACTTCCCCTAGCTATTATTACTGTGGAGGTAAAAAGAGATTCAAACATAAAACAGAAATTTTTACGAGGTGGTTTGTTACGATTATTATTTAAGTAACTTGCTAGAAGTATTAATTTTCCTTAGAACAAAATTGTATACCAAAATCTCCAAAACTACCGAACTGATTGTTGTCAAATTTTAAATATATGTTTGGAATGTCATGCAGATGGTAAAACGATAACTACTTAAATTTATCAAATCATCCCTAACAACAACTTTATAACATCATGTCAACAATTTGCTTGGTAAATACTATTTAAAATTTATAAAAACACATACTCTTGCACTGTGATTTATAAATCCGCCCTGATTTTTAAACACAATTACTTTACAAAAATATTCTTCAGAGGGGAGGGAAGTTCTGTTAAATAACATAAGACCAATTTTTACTAGTAAAGATTAGTAGTAACTAATCTTTACTACCGGGGAACAGTAGTTTATTAATGAATGTACGGACACTAAAATCTAGAAACATTTATTAAGAGAAGTCCTCACGTTTGGCGTTTATGGATTATCAATACATTTTCAGAATATAATAAGTCCGTAATTAAAAAACTTATGTTATCAAAGTTTTAAATATAACATGTCCACATCTTTCACTACATAACGCGGGGACATAAAAAAAAAGGTTTACTATCACCTTTTTTTTTATTTAATGAAATTTTTACATCATATTTTTAGAAATCAAAATGTTAATTAATAATGGAAATTTTGGAACGCGGTTTTCACCAGTGTTTTCAGTTTATACAACTATATAAATTTAATGGAAAATCATTGTCAACTTTTTTGTCGGAGATGAGATTGTGTCGAAGAATCTTCTACTCTGTCACATCTCTCATATCTCATTCCCGACACAAAAAGTCGACAATGTTTTCCATGAGATTTATAGAGTTTCATGAATTGAAAGCAGCGGTGAAAACTGCGTTCTAAAACCGTTTCATTTGTATCTCATAAACTTTTATAGTTAATGACACTTTCGTTACTATGAGATAGGACATGAGTTTTTACTTCCCAATTAAAAGTAATGAAATCGAGTCCATCGGGCGACTGGTTACTTTCATGTTTTCTCGACGTTTCAAAACACTTGAAGTACTAAAAAAGTGTTCCCTCGTTTTCGTCTGTCTGTCTGTCTGTCAATTTTGATTAGACAGACAATCGGCGAAACTACCGGACCGATTGTTGTCGAATTATACTTATATGTAGTCGTATGTTGGGAATATTGTGTAGATGGTAAGACCATAACCAACGTTGATGACGTCCTCTTCAAAATTTACGATAGTATAAAACTTATTTAAATTTTATAAAATAAGATACTCCACACTTGCAGTTACTGAATTTGTGTTGAGTTTTTTCAAAAACATTAACATTTTTGAAAAAAAAATAAAATTGTGTAAAAATATCTTGCAATTTAACTTTGAAACAGTAAAACCGCATACTCTAAGCATCTAAAAGATGTACAATATTTTTAGAATTAGTTATACAAAGGTGACTCTAAAAAAATAGTGAATGAGGCAATTTATTTTATTAATCAAATCAAGAATAGTTCACCTCGTTTTCTCGAAAATTTGAGTATACAGGACCTATCCTTGATAAAGTGTTGATGTCAGAAAAATTTTGTTATGAAAAAACGTATTTAAAACATATGCATAGCATGCTTCTTTACCTGTACTTTAATAGCCTACACATATCTTTATTTTAACTTCTAGGGGTTATCAAAAAAATATATATATATACTTAATAATATTTTGCAATATGACTTCAAAAACTACAAAACCGAAAGCTCTGAAGTTTTTCAAACATTTTAAGGTTATCGTAAGCATGGTAAACAAAACTTTTAGTTAGTTGACGTCATTTTACAATTTTGTCGAATAAAAGTTCTTTAAATTTTATAGGATAACATACTAGATGTTAGGAAAAAACAAAAACAACACTTCACAATTTAGCTCTGGAATTGCAAAATCGATGTTCTTCGTTCTGAAACTCTACAATGGTTGTAAGATTATAAGAAGCATAATAAGTTGTTAATCATAATTTATTCGTTTATGGCTTTCCCAAAAAATGATGACGTCAGCTCCTACTCCGTGTTGAGCTTTTATCTTAGGCATACATGATTTTTGGAAAAAAAAATTACAATTTAACTTTCAAATTACAAAACTGAATACTGTGAAATCTTGAATCATTTTAATTAAAATTTGTCTTTTTATGCCCCTCCTTGAAAATGATTACTCCATCCTACAATTTTGCCGAATAAATCTTCTTTAAATTTATGAGTATTTACTCTAGACATCAAGTTTTTTTGGAAAAAAAACGATTCTGCTTAATTTATTAGTTATTCCGAAACAAAAATCGCAAAATCAAATTTTACAAATTTTTCAAAAAAGCCGGATTTGTTCAAGAGCGAAATAACTTTTGACCAATTTTTTAGATTGACGATTGTGATTATTAAAAAATAATTACTTGCGTTTCCTTATCAGAATTTTTATCATTTCTCTCAGATACGGAAAATTAATTTTTAAAGGAATTGTGAAAACATGTAAACATCAATACAATTTACTTAGTCGTACACTATTGCATATTTGAGATTCCTATAAAAACATTTTATTTCCCGAGCCCAAGGTAAGAAAGTATTGTAATCGAATCCATCGGACGATTTACTACTTTCATGTTTTCTCGACATTTCATGCCCCTAGACTACGAAAAAAGTGGTCCCCATTTCCGCCTGTCTGACGTCTGTGTCTCCGAAACCACTGGACCGATTGATGTATATATATTAGGAATATCATATAGATGCTTTTAAACTCTAACCAAAATTTGGCTAATCATCCCCACCAACAATTAACATTATCTACTTTGTCTAAAATAATATACTCCTGTACTAGTGGTTTACGAATCTGCTTTGATTTTGTTTATTACTATTATACCTAATTATTTATTGTTTAATCCGTCTTGTTCTTTAGACACATTATACGGACAATGCGTAGTTTTCCAGGTGAGAAATCCGGGGTTCCAATGCTCAGTGCCCGCGGCCGCAACTTTTTTTTCTCAAATCAAGAACGGTTCACCCCATTGTCTCAGAATGTAAAAATACAGTAATGTCACTCACGTCTATAATATATACCTACTAATAATAAAATAAAATATTCAACCCGTTTTACCCCATTGTAGCTTAATTGAATACATAAGTTCTCTCCTCCATTTTGAGAAGAGAAAATCAATCAAATTTCATTTTACTTTAACGCAGATGCTTGTTATCGAAACGTGCTAAAAGCAAAATTTTTTGGAATTATAAATATAAGCAGTCGAAGTTAAGCGTGCACTGAGAAATTGATAATACATTTTTCCAGTTGGTTAACTGCGTTGAATATAATTTCCTATATTGGAATTTGCGTCCCCGTGGCGCACGGTCTGCGGAGGTGTAAAACTGTATAATTTTTCGAAAAAGCGGAATTTGTTAGGGTGTACTTCAAAGGCGAGGGAGGTTCTGTGGAAATAACCTTCGACCAAGTAGTGTAAGAATTGTTGATAACATTAATTAATAATTAATTACACTACTTAAATCTATACAAATTTTAACTAAATATACATACCTATGAAGTTAAAATTTACAGTATTTCATAAGGTTTCGGCGTTCGTTATTTTACCTCTGTATACATATATTAATCTGGACTTGCTTTGTATGCTATTCGTTATAACTACAAAAGCAACAGTAACAATACACGAACTGAACAAAATAACCCTGCGCAAAACAGTTGAAAGAATTCATTTTTCTTTTAATAGGTATTATTTACGTAATATCGTCAGATGTTACTACAAAGGTGAATGTTCTTTTGAAAATTTTAATGATAGTGAGATTGGTCAGACAGGTGTGACAAACAGGTGACATCAAAGCTGGGATCATGTTTGCATGTGTTTAGTGCGTATGCAAATGTATGTAAATTAATTAAATACATGGTTATGATAAAGTAATGCACAAAATTCACAAAAAGCGCAGCATTTGTTTTTTAAAAAAAAAAATGCAAAAACATGTCATCGAATAATTAATTCATTTCCCAAAAAAAAATATTAAATTTAAAGCAATTTCGACCAATTGAAACATATGGTATGTTGCTTGAAAGAATATTAGATATATTTTAACTTTATAACATAAAAAATACTCACCACATGCCCCATACGTCCTAAATACTTCATCTTCTCCTGCACAGCCGCCACTTGCTTCAAATACCACTCTCTGGCCTTCTCCACCGCATTCAACCCTTGCATCAACACGTCCTTTTCCTGCTCAATCTGCTTCATCCTCTTCAACATATTATAATCTATCCCATTCTGCAACGTATGCCTCCTCGGCTCTCTTCTCTTCACGTTGGGTTTCTTCTGATAAATCCCCCCCGCGACTGGCACGTTCATGTCATTTTGGGCCGGTTTTCCGTCCCCCAGACTCCTCCCCGTCCTCAACAACCCTCCGTACTGTGGCTGCTGCTGCCTTTTATCCGTTTTGTTTTCCTGGTCGTTCATCATCAACCCCATCTGCCAGTTTTGCAGAGCTGTTCTAATTTCAGCTCTATCCATGTTGCCTCCACGGTCCATGCCGATGGCGGTCCTTGGGGGTTTGGGAGGACCGTACAAGGGTTTGTTGATGTTCGGTACGGTTTTTTCGGGTTGGGTGGCGTCTTTTCTTTCGGGAAGAAGTTGTGGCATGCTGATGGTTCGTTGGTTGTTGGGTCTTATGGCGGCTGTGTTCCAGTTTTGTTTGGGTGGGTCGATGTCTAGAAGAGGAGCGGATGGCGGGCGGTTGGTGGGTGGATCTGATGTTCCTGAATGTAACAAAGAGAATTTTAAACCATTAACAGTAAAATGAATACCACTTCATGTTTAAATAATTAAAGCTGGCAGAGGTGTTTCAAACGTGATTATGAAAATAGTACTAATTTAAGTTATATACCGGGTGGTTTATACAAGTCTGAGGCCGGTTTATAGATAGCTAATTAAATATTTAATTGTCGATTAATTTATCAGAGGGTTAAAATGTGAAATATGAGCCCGTAATTCATTGTTTCTCATGTTGGCTTGGCAGACTTCTAACCGTATAATCGACACTTCAAAAAACACGCACAATTATTTAACGTATATCGCACATCCAGCGACACACAAAAAAGAAACAAAATAACTGAAAATTATCTTTAATAATAATTAATAATTTCATTCTGAATTGTAGTTATATAATAAAGTAGTGAAATGGTCAACAATTAAAGTTACCTATATGGTAGGTAGGTATGTAACATTTTCACTAATCTGTTAGAGAGGCAAACTTTTACTATTATCAGTAGTATGACGTGTGCATAAAGGTAAATATTTTAAGAGATCGATATTCCTTGACCGATTGTATATGACACACTTATATGGGAGTACAAGATACTGTGAAGGCGGTAATTTTATTGTCTGCAAAGCAGCGGCAGGAGTGTGACTAATGTTAAATCACATAGCTGTCCTGATTTTGCAGATGGGATTTATAATGATTCAGACGAAATCATTCACTGATGAAAAGTCAATTTAGTAACTGCAATATTCATGTCACTTTTTAAGCTAGATCATATCATATTTATCTAGATAAGGTACATGTAATTAGGTAATTACACAAAATAAGCTTTCTCTCTCACTTGGTGGGATTCTTCAGGTATGTATCCAAAGTATACCTCGTTTATTTTCATAAGCGGACGTTTTACTAATTTAAATTTAAGAAATAATAATTTACACCTTGAACAGCATTTACATTTTCGTGTATAATTTTGTATGCTCAACGAAGTAAAGAACTTGTAACTATATATAGGTTTGAATAGAAAACAAGATACAAAATTAGAAACCCGAAAAGCATTTTTTTTCAAGATGATTTGATTAACTATAGATTTCATTTTGTAAAAATATTACAGAAAATTTACCATTGTGTTGACGGGTTTTAACAATTATACCGGGTGTCTGGAAAATGGCGGATTAACTCTTCGCTACGTCCTTAACAATCAACTGGTAAGTCTGGTAAAAATAGTAAAAAATTTACTCTCATTTTGGTGGAGTTATAATGATTCTGAAATTCGTTCTTTTGGTACATTAATTTAACAACTAAACAACGCATTCATTATCACAATAACTAGTAATCAAACTTTTAGTTCATATTTCTCTCGCCCATGACTATGTTTAATTCCCATTTAAGTTAGAATGTACAAAGATATAGTTGTGTTCTTTTTGTAATACTTAATTTGATAAAATTCCATTTGACAACAATGTTTGGCCGATATAAAGCGAAGGTACAAATCAGCAAAAATCGAGTAAGCAGTTAAAAATGTTTGACGTACCAAAAATTGTCAAAGTTTTAAAAACCCTACGTTTAAAATTTTCGCAGTTAATTTTAGATCCCCATGTGTTTTATTTTCGGATCAATTTAAAGGATGTACTTGAAAAAATCTTTTGAGCTTTTAGTGTTTTCTTTTTTATGAAAAAGTCGTGAGTGCCACAGTGTTTTTTTTAATTAGTGAGACTCTTGAATATCCATGGTGTATTATTTTGGGAACCCATGGATTTTTTTGTAAATTATTTAAAACAATTTTAAGGGATATTGGTGTTCTATTTTTGGAAAATTTAAAATAATCTTGAGGTTCTAGATATTCCACCTTGGAAAGAATTCGAAAATGCTTTGGAGCCTCTAGTGTCTTTTCTTATAATAATTTCATTAAATTTCTTAGAGGATGCGTCATTTGCTAAAGTCAGTCTTATCTTAGAGAGTGTGTCATTTGCCAAAATCGGTCTTATTTTGGCAGGTACTAGCCCCACCCACCAGCCCTCTATTTTCTTAGCGGATATGTCATTTGCCAAAATCGATCTTATTTTACCAGGTACTAATTCCGCCCAACCGCCTTCTATTTTCTTAGAAGGACCTCATTATCCAAAATCAGTACTAGTACAGGCTAAGTTAAAACTGATATTGCCAAATGGCATACATTCGAAGAAAATAAGGGGTGGGTGGGCGGGGCCAATACTTGCCAAGATAAGACTAATTTTGCCAAATGATATACTCTCTACCCTTCATGTTCTTAGAGGGTATGTCATTTGACAAAATCAGTCTTATCTTAGCAGGTACTAGCCCCGCCCACCCACCCTCTCTTTTCTTTGAGGATATCTCATTTGCCAAAATCAGTCTTACCTTGGTAGTTACTAGCCCCGCCCACCCACCCTCTCTTTTCCTAGAGGGTATGTCATTGCCAAAATTGTTTTTATCTTGGCAAGTACTGATGACCAACTTTTACAAAAAATGATCAAAATTTGGAAACATTACCAGCGTACCTACTTATATACACCGGGCAGGAACTTCTCTAGTGTTTAGTTGGTTATGCTTTGATGGATTTTTCTTTTGTTGTTTTTGTTTTTGTTTATAATTTATAAATGTCTTGTAAATGTTTTTTTGGTTTATTTATTAATGAAAAATAACAGCTTGTTTTATTAATAATAATGCACAACGATTAATGACTATTGTCTTTGCCATTTCTATTGAAACACCACCTGTTGATTTTTCTTAAAATTTAGCAATTGGTAACAGCTTTCGGTTGATTGGCAATGGCTTTTAGTTAGAAAATTGTCTGAATATGAACGTTGCCAAATTTACGATTAACAAGTGGTGTTTCAATAGAAATGACAAATACTATACTAGTTGTTAGGTGTGTGCAGTGTTGCCAATTTTACTTTTATAAAATTACGGTTTTTTCCTAATCTACATCATAAAGAATTTTTTGATTATTTTTTTGGGACTCCCGAAACCCCTGTACATAACGTACTGAAGAGTTAATCCGCCATTTTTCAGACACCCGGTATAGACTGTTTTATTAATGCAGTAATTCAAGTCCCAATTATTATTTACAGAAAAAATGTGTCTTAAATACAATGGATAATTTAAATCTGAAATGTTTACAATACGATTTCAGTAACCGTGAAAAAATATTCCCACATGAAATATATGTGTGTTCTAAAAATTTTGTATCACGTGCTGATTAATTATTTTCTGTTTTACATAAAACCGGTGGTGGCGTTGTGCGGCGGCACTTATTATGTTAATGCAATTTTACAAGCGGTTATTAAAGCTAACTTGCTCTTATAAGTTATAAGTAAGTAGACTGTACTTTGTAGGTCCCCTAGAAAAATCTTTAAAACTTAAAATATCAACGTGAAGAACGAAAACCTCAAAATACAAAAAATAAATATACTTTTTGTAAAATTTTAATACCTACAATAAAATAAAATAAAAACTTTAGTTGGAGATACTTTCATTTTTTTTTAAATGCTGTCATTGTTTAAACTATGTAAGACTATAAATATTTAAAAAACAACTCGTATTTACAATAAACCCATCCTATTAAAGTCGTCCAAATTCTCTAAGGTTATATGACTGTTGTAATATTAGGATATTGTGAAGTCGACAATGGAACGGTTAATAAGGCAAACTCACAATCGTAAATCTTTTGGACTGTACCTGCTCCCGTCTGTCATCCATTTCAGAGGCGAATTCAAAAGAATGCGTCACTCTTCCAAAATACTCAATTATTGGGACACAGAACAGTGTATTATCATTTCATTTTACTATGTTTGTGTTTGAAATCGGTACGTTTCATTTGTAAATAAATAAAATCTTAACTGTCTTGGAAAATTTAATTACCTGAAGACCCATTTTAGATAAATAAGTGAACTATTTTCTGTTATAGTTTTACAAAAAAAAAAAAAAAAATATAGTAGTATAGTAATAGGGGGATTATTATTTCCCATTATTAGGGTTACGTTTATAATCGTATGTAAATTTAGACCAATAATTATTTGGTAAAAATTAGCTTAAATTTAGGTCATTTATAAAATATAATTTTGTGAATTTTATTTTTTTATGATAACATTTATAAGTTAAAGTAAAGATGAAGTGTGCTACAAGTGGGTTTTTCATTGCAAAATTTTGTGATCAACATGTTTGCAAGGACACATATGTCAAGTTGAATAGGTGCAGTGTAATAATAGCAGTAATATTCTATACTCAAATTATCGGGAAAATGTCGATCTCAATCAATAAATTTTACATCCTAATTTATTTTTTTTATTCACAGTGTGTAAGTAATTCTAAAAAATACGAAAATGTTGATAAACCATAGGTATCGGCTGATATATTTCGCATATTTTAGGTAGAATTTATTCGGCAAAATTTTGAGTAGCTACGACTCCAATTCGTCGAATCTGGGCACGAGAGAGACTGGCATCATCGAAAAGCTGCTGGTAATTTTTTTACATATTTTTGTCAAATTTTATTTTCTTACTAAACCAAGTTTTTGCCTCCAACGCACAATTTTTAAAAACGGAAGGTTTGACATTAATAAATTTACTTTATTTATTTATTATCATACCACTTTTATTTTACAAACAATTGGGTCCTTCACACTGAACACAAAACTTTTTATTAGTTCACAATCTGTCTCCCTGGAGGAGTTATCACGTGTTAAAAAGAGGCACAAATATGCCTAATCCATTTTTTTTTAAATCTATATATCACGCAAATGTTGCAAATACACCAAATATTTTATGTATTACCACAAAATGAAATCTAAAGGCTTTAAATCTGGGCTGCGAGTTGGCCACCGAGCACCCGACTCAGTTTTGCTTTTCAATTAAAAAATTGGTCATATATTATTTCGACAGAACTTTTCTTGCCCCTGAAGTACAATCCAACAAAATTTGCTTTTTTGAAAAATGATAAAATTTTGCGATTTTTTTGATGACGTCTATAAATTAAAAAAAATATGAATGCATTAATAAATCACAAGAATAGACTCAAAATGTTTTGCACATTTTAGATGGGATGTATCGGGAAAAAAATATCTGTGATACAATTTCGATTTTTTTTCTAAACATTGATTATTGTAAAAATTTAACAAGGATTCATAAACTAGAAGTGGAAAAGCATTAACTAAAAATTAATTCATTTTAAGTCCAGTCAGTTTTTTCGGAAATTATAAAAAAAATAATAATAAGCATGCATGTCTTGAAATGAAAAATCAAATTTTCATATAATAATTACGAATTTTGAGTTAACAAAATGAAGATTTTAGAATAACAAATCAAAATTTCGAGAGAACAAAGTCGAAATTTTAGTACAAAATGTGCAAATTTCAAGAGCACAAGCGGGTCGAAATGTCGGGATAGTGATTGAAAAAGATGCACGAAATATATAAAGAAAAGTTCTGACCAATGAACTTGTAATTTATAAAAATTCTGAGGAAATATAATTCTACTAAAAAAATTAATATTTTGAAATAGCAAAACGGAATCTGGTCATAATTTTTACTTAATTAACGTAAAACTTCAACATTAGTAAGTTGACATTAGAAATACTCATAAAAATTGGAAAAAAAGTAAATACAATTTTAGTTAGTTTTAGGTTTTCCAAATATTCGGTCTCTAATTCGGAATTTTTAAAAATTTGAAAAATGTCCATATTTCATTTGGCGATTCTGGAAAAGTGGTAGGAACTTCTAAAGAACTTAAGCCAATCACGACTTCTAGAGTTCGGAATCTACAAAGAAATCCCTTTAGGTAATTTTCGAAAATAGTCAAAAGTGGTTGAAAATTTCATTAGGGTAACTCGAGATTTTGGAAATGTTACCTAAAAATCCACAAAAAATTCTGGGATAGAATTCTCAACGTAGTAATTCTAAATATATAGCGTGCTTGAGATCTGAGAGCAAGATTTTCAAAATACTCGGTCCCAAATGCGAAATTTCAAAAATTCTAAAAAAATACATTTTTCATTTAGTGATTCTGTAAAAGTGGTAGGAGTTTTTAAAGAACTGGAAACGAAAATAACTTCTAGAAATCGGAATCTACAAAAAAACCTTTGAGTAATTTTCAAAAATCGTCAAAAAATTATCTAAAATTTCATAGGACAGGAGTATTGAAAAATAGAGATTCTGGAAAAATTGACAAAAAATTCACAAACATTTCTAGGATGTAGGTCTCGATCTGCTAATTCTAATAGTATAGCGTGTAGTTTGTGGTTTCGAACTAAGATTTTAAAAATATTTGGTCTCTTTCTAATTTTGCAAACATTCTAAAATTTTCCATATTTTATTTGGTGATTGTGGAAAAGTAACAGGAATTTCTAATGAAATGAAATCGAAAATGACTTCTAGATGTCAGAATTTACAAAAAAATCCCTTTGGACAAATTCATAATGGGGGAATATAGAAATAAAAAGTTAAAATTTTGGAATAACCAAATCGAAATTGTAGAATGAGATCTTCATTAATCAAATATAATACTAAAAAAATAAGTCAAAATTACAAAGTAGTAAATCGAAAGACGTCATCGATTTTTTTGAAGGGGATAAACGGCTAAACTTTGTTTCACGATTTACATGCCTGGGATGACCTTAAAATGTTTGCAGTATTTGAGAGCAATCGCTTTGTAATTTCAAAGTTAAATTGCACAAAGTTCTTAAAAAATTTTGATTTTTTTTTTCAAGAATCTGGATATCTAGAGTAAAAACTCAACGCGGATTCATAAATCACCAGTGTAGGAGTATGTTATTTTATAAAATTTAAAGAACATTTACTATTGTAAATTTTGGAGATGACGTCATCCCATTGCTGATGGGGATGATCAGACAAATTTTGATTACCGTTTTACCATCTACACAATATTCCTAATGTACCTACATCCAAAATTTTACAACAATCGGTAGTTTTGTCTAATCAAAATTGACAGACGACATTTATAACCTTTTCGAGGCATCCTGTATAAACAGTTCTAAAAAATAAAGGAACATGCAAGTGACATTTATTTAATAATTTCAAACTTTTGACGTGACGTAATCAAGTTTTTGGACAGGATGAACATTGGATAAAACTTAGTTTGTACCTATTTTAGCAATAAAGATATATTTACTCAAAATAAATACATGTAAAACAATCAGTTGTTTCGGAAATTATCTGGCTAATAAAGTCGCCGACAGATGCACAGAAACGAGGGACCTACTTTCCCTGTTCTAGGTCCTACAAGACAATGGCTTGCGCTACGGAAAAAAATAACGTTCATAATGTTGCAAATAAAAGACGTCGAACATTAATAATTTGTCTGTTCCACAATTGCCGTAACAAGTTATTAACATTTTTAAATTATCGACGTTATGCTTGTAAACATTTTATGACAATTTCTTCGCAACGGCAATTAATTTTAATAAACGAATTTCACATGATCATGATCATGTAAATTTATGAAAAGTATAACAACATAAAAATATAATGTTGTACCAATGGCTTAAATGGGTTTTTAAATAATGATCCGAAAGGCAACTTTATAAATTGAAAATGTAGCGATAGATTTCTGTACTGAGAAAACACTACCCATGTAAGAAAAAAAATTGGTAAAACTTTTTTCAGGCATTTTTGTTTTAAATTTGGTATAAATTATTGCCGCCATATCCGAAACTCTGACAGTTAATGAAGTATGCCGTCGTTACAGTTATAGATATAATTATTCAACATAATGGAGAATAACCCTTTGTCTTTATTTTTGATTATAATGTTTTGAAGTTTATTATTGAATTTATCACTAACCTGTATTACTTACTATTAAAATAATAATGTCTTAAAGAGAAAGAAAGAAAACGAAAGAGTTGTCAAAAAAAAAATTGAAAGTTCATCTTCGAAACATAATTCAGACAAAATATGCGAAAACTTTTTATGTTATTTAAAGTCTTTAGACTTTATAGACATATCAAAATTAAGGAGCAAACTTAGATATGGCTGTGATACAAATAAGGATGAGCATGGGACAGTTAAAGATAAAAATAAAATATTTTGGACTATGTAGCAAAAATTGAACTTGTCGCGAAGACTGAAAAAAACCTGATTATAGAAGACAGTTAGGATGCTAGCGAATTAAACCAGTGAGGAACATATAAAAAATGAAATATTAAAAAATAGTATTGCAATTTTTGAAAAGCCACTAAGCATTAAACTCAGAAAAACAAAAACTAATATTTATTAACGATTTAAAAACCACTGTTGCTAAAGTTTAAAGACCCAATTTTCCCCCATCACTCACGACCGTCAATTTATTACCTCGTTTCAGATTGTTGTCATTTCGCCGCTCCACTTGATTCCTCAAAAGACAAATCTTCAAGCCAGCACAGAACCTCTCAAAAGTCAGCATCCCGTTGGGCGGCGTTACCTTGCGTAGGCTTTCCAGTACTCCTTTCGGCAAGCCTTTGGAACCGTCATCTTGCCATCTGTTTTCGATGTCCGAGAAGTTCACCAATCCCGACCTTTTATCGTCCATGATATCAAAAAGAGTCCGCATCGCGCTGACGAACTGTTTGGGGAGGCCGTCAAGGGTTGACGACTGCAAAGGTGACGACATGTCGCGTGTTGTTTACACTTTTTCTGTTAGCTTTTCGAATTGACGGACGGTACCGTGCTCGTTTGTCCGTTCGGTACTACTCGACTGGCTGCCAGTTTGGTACGGAGATTGAGAGATAGTACCTGAGGTTGGTCACTCTCTCGCCGAACCGAAGAGAGGCGAGACGTGGATGGAGCAGGTACGTAACCGCAGGTAACTGTTGTTGAAGAGAGTGTGCTGACCTTGTGGTAGTCCAGTACTGGATGCGATGGCGGTAAAATTGGGTTTGAATTGCGGGTAATGTCGCGGTGGTACGACATAGAGTTGACATGGATCTGACTAGGATGAGTGTGATTAAGAGGATGGGAATGTAGGTCGCAGGTTAATCGCTTCCAGTGGGTGAAGATGTAGGTGATGGGGAAAAGGAAGATAATCGAAAAAACTAAGAATTTGTGGAAAGAAAATAAATACGTGCGATTTGATTTGTAAGACAAAGACGTAGGCGTTACACAGAGAGCATAAAGTACTTACTTTGTTTTAATGACGTCAAACTTTTGCACGGTAGTTTGAAGCAGGTTGTTTTGAAATGTGGTTGATATCGTCCAAAGTCTGAAAACCACATTTATAAGAATTTAATAAAACAATAAAAAATTAAACTCACCGTATACTCTCAGACGACCTAGACACAAATTACTGTTTCACTTCACCAAAGGGACACTTAATATTCAACGATATATAAAACCACGAATAACGTGACAACTAAATTTCATTTTTACAACATTGCTGACTGACGAAATTATATTATTTGCCTGATTTATTTTTTGCTGCGCTTGCTCGGTAAACCCAGAGTTGTGTAATTTTAGCTTTAACCAACGCATTACAAGCTGTTTAATTTGACAAGCATGTAAGCTCCATGTACACTTTAAACGTTCCATTGTAAAAACAAAGGAAGTAGGTGATTATTAATTACGGATCAAGAAATAAAACAGGCCCCATAAAACATTTCTGTATTAAATTGTAGGAATTAATTTCTTAACTTCTGTTTACACTTTTTTATCATGATAATTTTTAGTTACAAGCTATAATTACCTCGTACTTCTGTAGATGTATTGCAAGAGCGCAACAGGTTCTCCAGTCTCATTTTTTTTTGGAAAGTTTTTTTATGATTCGAATTTCTAACGTTTTTATGTGGTTATATTTCCGCAGTGGATTTGAACTGAGATTTCTTGAAAGATTTGTCTGAACCAGTCATTTAATAAATAATATCAGTGTCATGTTGTGTAATTATATACTTTTTTGTTGTTATAGGTACCTATTTAAAATGAGAAAACTTTGTACAAATTTTTTCAAATAAAAAAATTGGTCCGTGCTTATCTTTACGATAAGATTTCCAGTTTTGAACGTTAGTTTTGGACTGAAATAAGTAGAGAGCGGTTAAATAAGCACAACATTTTCAATAAAAAAGTTTTATTTTATACAAAAAAGCATTAAATAAGCATAACACTTTCATTAAAAAAGTTTTATTTTAAGCAAAAACGCATTAAAAACATAATCATATTACAAATCAAAGTACACTTCTTAGAAGTTTGGATAAAATATTATTACGATAATCCTAGACTTTATATTTTACACACGTATTTCAGTTTTCTTTAAAACAATTTATGATTGTAATATGTTCTAAGTTGTCCACTGTAAAATTTTTTCGCCGATCATTTAAAATGTGTTTAAAATTGGAGAATGTGCGTTCAACATCCACACTCGTTGTTGGCGCAAATTTGAATTTTGCAACTAATGTTGAATCTAACTCCAAATTTTCCACCTTGTGGCCTTCTAAAACACGAGCAACGTCGGAAAGAACACCGAAACCTGCATTTTTATTTAACACTTCGTCAAGTTTTTGAGATACTCTAGTACCAATATCACCCCTTACTTGCGTTTTCACTAAGTTTATGGCATCTACCAATAACATGTTGGGTTTTTCTAACTTTTCTATTACCTCACATACGAATTGATAATTGCTTCTTAGAAAAGCTAGATCTTGTCGGAAATCTTTGTTTTCCAAAATATTTATGCAATCTTTAATCGATTGAGAAGAATCTTAGCTAAACTCCGTAACTACTACAAATTCTTTGATATATTTGTCATAATAAAATGTGGCCTGTAACCATGTTCCCTGCCTCGTTATAATCGGCTCTGGGGGCAATTGTATGTTTGGAAATTTTTCCTTAAAATGTTGCTCTCTTAGTGGGGCTTTAACAAAAATCTTTTTACCATTTGCCACTAATTTATTAACAGTAGGAAACTGCAAACGTATTACTTCGGCCACTCTGTTTAAACCGTGGGCAATGCAACTAGAGTGAATTAAATTGGGGTACAATATTTTTAGATTATTCCCTGCATCCGAGATTATCAATAAAATTTTATTCGCCGGTACGGCATTTGGCAAAAATAGTGACGTAAGTATCATTTACAAATCTGGTAATCGTATTGCCATTTGTTTTATCTGACATTTTCAAACTTACTACATACCCTCGACTAGGGAAATTTTCATTTAAGATTCCAACAATTAAACTTGCCACGTATCTTCCACAACTATCGGTTGTTTCATCGTCAGCGAACCATAAATAATTATCTCCAACGCGATGTTTAATTTCGTTGTAAACTTGCTGAAACACCGGGCCTACATAATTTTTTCGGAGAGTACTTTCAACCGGAATATGTCGATTGCAGTGTTTTTCAAGGAATTCTTGAAGAGGGCCTTTCTCCAATTTTTTTAAAGGTATATTGGACTGGATCATCATTTTACATAAATCGAAATTAAACTGAAACTGCTCATCTTTTGTGGAATTAGATGCAACAAATTCATGTATGGTCTGCTGTTTAATTTTAGAAACTTCAAACATTTTCTTCCTTTCTACATGAAGAGTCGTTCTGACATGTTGCGTCACATTATATTTTTTATCACTTTGAATCTAAAACAACGTACATATACAGGATTAACAAAGGAAAATAGATAAAAAAAAATTAGTGGGCTACGGTTTTCACACAAGCTCTGGAGAATATTTTGTTGGTTTCTAATTTTAATTCTGGAAAATCCCTTATCCACTCATCCGGCGTCGATTTTACTTTCGGCATTCTTATAAATATAAGTAATATTACCAAAAAGAACTCAACATGTAACCAGGAGAACCACGTATAACACTGTACTACGACAGATGCGATAGACTGATGGTTGTGAAATAAACGGTTCATTTACTTAAAAGTTTCCATTAGAAAAATTTTAAGGTAGGTAGTTGGGTACAATAATCCTTTTTTCTAGAAAATCTTCAACGGTCTTGCCGCAAAATGCCGAAAAAGAACATCTGATTAAAAGCTTTAATTCATTATCAACGGAAGTAAGGATTTAAAGTCATAAAATCTATGGAGTATTTTTCCAATCCTATAATAAAACGACCGGAACCTATTCACAGAAAGGGTCTTGAGTAAGTGTACTTCAATGGTCAAGTCCAGGTAAAATGCATACGATACGATACGGCTAACTAACAAGTATTTGTCATCCCGACAAGGCCGGCATTTGAACAAAATATGCATAAAATTGAAAAAAAAAGCAAATAAGCATAAAAAAAATGTGCCAAATGACTCCAAATTGTATCATAGTTACAGATATAAAAAAGTTTTGAACTGCTTACATTTTTCACAAAAAGCATTAAACCTAGAAATCCGCTCTCTAGACATAAAGGATCCAGTTTCTCAGGTAAATTATTAACTGTTACTTAAACTTAAAGTTTAACTGAACACTGTCATTTATTTTCTATTTACCAACTTTAGCTGCAACTGTATGAAGTATATATATGAATTATCGAAAGAAAGAAACGAAAAATTACGTACATAATAATCTGTGATTTTTTAAATTTCTCCTCTACTTGGCCATGACGCGTAAGTCAGCAGTGCAACTGAAATGGCTGACGTAAGCGTCATGGCTAACTAGAGCGAAATTGAAAAAATTATCACATATATTTAGGTACACCAAAAGACATATCGGTAAAAAATATACTGGGTGTCCCGGCGTAGCTGTTCGACTCAAATATCTCTATTTCGCAAGATTAGCAAAACATTTAGAACAATGTGTCTTTTACGAAAATCGGCAACAAATGAAGAACATAACGTAGGTGTCTTGTTTCAAAATCCTCTATACAAAGAATTTTAAAAACGGCCAAATATCATGATTAAAAAATTCCTTTACATCAAGCATTAGTACCACCTGATTTTGAAAGGAGATTAGCTTTTATTGCGGAGGCACGTAAAGAGGGTATCATAAGTGATATTTTATGGTCAGATGAAACTCGTTTTAATAATAATGGAATTGTAAATCGATGTTTGGTATGGAATAATCAATTGTCAAATTATCCGGCCTAAATTTTACGAAGGAGATCTAAATTCGCAAATTTATTTGGAATTTCTTGTTAAGGAACTTTCTGCGTTATTAAAAGATGTTCCACTAGTCGTGAGAGAAAGAATGTATTTCCAGCAAGATAGTGCACCACCACATAACGCGGGAATAATAACAGATTATTTAAATGATACATTTCCTCATAATAGATTGGCAAAAATGTAGCAATTCGGTCCTGCTAGATCTCCAGATCTAACACCTCTCGATTTTTTTTGTGGGACTATTTAAAAGATAGGGTGTATCAGCACCCTCTAAGAGACTTAGACGACCTTAAGCAAAGAATTGGGACAGACTGTGATAGGAGTAACCCAGAAATGTTACAAGTAGTAACAAGTAGCGGTCTACTTCATCGAGCAGAATGTTGTATAGAGGCAGAAGGTTGCCAATTTGAACATTTAATTTAAAGTTCTTGTTTTTGTATCGTTTTATTTAGCTTCAAACTTTGATTTTATTAAAATACCTAGTGCATATCATCGTTTTAATTTTTTTTTATTAAGAACGTTTTAAAACTTCCAAATAAATAACATCGTATCATGTGATATTTCGTTGAAAAGACAAACAAGGGCTCTATTTAATGTATTGAAAAATGGTACCCTTTTATCTAAAATTGATGTTAGTTCCGGCGAAACTGAAACTAAAACGACGCCCGTAATTTATCCATTTAATAGACTGTGTTACATATATTGAACATGCTAAATTTATATTTTTTATGTTTTAAAATAATTGAGATATTTGAGTGGAACAGGTACGCTGAGGCACCCGGTATAAAGAACATGAAGATTATTTATTAAAATCTTTACATGGGAAACTTAACGTAACTCTAGTACATTTAGTGAAAAATTGGTAAAGTTGTTTGTACTGAATTTCCTTTATTTTGAAACAATAATCCATACCGCTTGTACAACAAATGGTATTTTTGAACAGAAAATTTTAGAAAAAAAAATAAATTCTGTAAACTCCATTGCTTTTACCTTGAAGGAGGAATTAAACAATTCACTACTAAATTGTAGGAATTTTTAGTGCAGGTCTTTAAGGCGACAAAGCCAATCAGTTTTAATTATTAACTCCCAGTTAAGTCACAAATCAATATTTTTGGCGATACTTTGATAGATATTCAAAATCTAGTAATTCACTTGACAGTAGCAGAATAGCACCTAAGAAAGGTAAATATATTAACATGTTATTCATGTTAAAAAAAGAAGAAATACCTATCTCAAGAATACTCACAGTCTACTAAATTTCCGGGTTTGTATATTGATCGTCGGTTAACTTGAAATGATCATGGGAAAGTAGTTACGGGTAAATTGTGTAAAAATATTTTTGTATTGAGAAATAACTATAACCAAGTTTCCCTTGAAACTCTGAGAGAGTAGCCTATTTTGCCCTTAACCAAGCACAATAATTATGATCATATGATTTAAGATTTATTGATTTGGGGGCACTTTAGCTCAAGACACCGAGTATTTGGTCCAGAGCGTAATATTCCGTTGTTTAATTTTATAAGACACAATTCGATGTCCATAACTACAATATACGCCATAATATAAGTGTGTCTGAAAAATTGAAGATTAACATTTTCATTAAAGCAATTTTTGGTGCAATCTCAATAAATTATGGCCAATTAGCATAAAAAAAGTCTGCTTGCAACTCAAAAACATCTCGTATATCGAGACGTTTATTTGTTTTAACGAATTTTGATAGATTTTCAAATGATTAAAAAATATATAAATATATAAAGAAAATGGAGGTTGAGTGAACTAAAGGACTAGGTACCACTTTATTTAACAATTTTTTTGTAATCTTCTAAACCACACAGGGGTCGCAAATATACCAAATCGTTTATGTATTACTACAAAAAGAAATCTAATTACTTACTCCGGGGCCAATTTCAGGTTGAATTTGCGATATCGCAAGTCCCCGTGGCTAAGGAAGATGCGATGACAATTCTTGCGATATCGCAAATCCAACCCAAAATTGGCCCCCTTTAATAATTAATACATAAATATTTCCATCCGTAATATAGTACTCTAACTTTGATATTGCCAAAATTTCGTGAAAATTAGATAAATCGTTTCGGAGAAAACAACACACGTCTGAATTTTTGAATCGAATTCATTTTTTATATATTGTATTGAAAAACATTTCCCGTAAATATGCAGTACTTTAAACTAAAATGAGTAATAAACAACTGTTAAGAACAATATATATATAATAGAACCATGATGGAAGAAAATGCATGTTCGTTTAACCGTTTAAAGTTAAAGTAAAAATAATATATTCACTGGAACAATCCCTCTACAAAAGAACCATTTATGGTTCCAAGCGAAAGTGTGATGAGAATCAACCATCTTTCCGCGTTTCACATTATCTTCATCACAAAAGTTCTTCCATCGTTTACAGTGGCGCAATAAATTATTCGAATGGGCAGCATAACACGCTCCTTTACCTGTATTTTATAACGACCTTTCTCGAAATTTTAGTATTGATTTAGTTATTATAAAACATTAGTTGATTAAAATATTTTTTAATACACGAATTGATATTTGTACAAGGGGATGAATACATCCCCTGGGGAAATTTCATGATGCTATTTCAAACAAAAATTAAATAAAATTTTATGGAAAATATGTTTCCAGTTGTGGAATTGCTTCTGCCCCAGCCAGTGGTTTTCTTACACAGGTTGCGTATTCCCACCAAAAAGTTAATTATGTTCTTTTAAAAGGTTATGTTGTAAATTTTTATTTTGCTTGTAACTGTAACACTAAACAGTAGGTATGTCTCACATTACTGTGAGCAAGCTGAGGTAGTGGTGATCTTTATGTGCAATTCTGATGACAGCCTCAACAATAATAATAATTTCAAAGTTTGAAGTATTTAATTCTCTTAAGACAGATTGCGTTAAATTTAGCGTTAAGTTGTTTAGCAGAAATAAAAGTACACTTTTATAACGATATTTCAATTTATCGAAATATTCAACCAGACGGTGTTTAACAATTAACTCGGCAGATTAGTAGGGAAATCTAGGACAAAACAGATTACTAAGACAAGACCGGGTACTTGTTTTTAAACAACCTGTAGAATAAAATAAAAAATACGACCAAGTTACTAAAGCATAGATAGAGAAACATGTGTCACAGATTTACGGAGAAACTTAAACTGCTTAAATTCTGTTTCACATTATCTGTTCACTATAGCGCTTCCAGGGGCATCTGGAATTGCATATACTTATGTAATAATACTTATTAATTTATTGCCATCTTTGGTTAGTACCCTCAAAATTTCAGTCCAAGCTTGATAGTTTACCGAGTTAGGTAATAAATTTCGAACAGATGATAAAATGAAAGAAGGGCACCGTTTGTCCCTTTCCACACGTGTATCCTTTAAAAATATTTTAAATCTTTCTGTTTCTTTTTTGTATTACAATGTGTACTTAGTTTATTTACATAAAATGTCGTTGGTCTGCAATCTTTGTTCAAAAGTGGGGGAAGTGGATTAGGAGTTATACTTTTAAGAAATACCGTCTATTCGGCAACGCTATACAAAGTGTGGTAAATAATCTACGAGAAAATAAGTTTTATAACTGATACTCTTTCTTAAATAATAATAATAAAAAATACACTTGCTCAATGACTGGTATTATTTGGTTTTATGCAACCAGTATTACACACTAAATGGTTAGAAATTCATGGATAAGTTAGTTGATTGATTTTTTCCTACTTTTTCTGACATTTAAGTGACAAAATTTTAAGTTCAGTCCACCGCTATTAGGCATTTGATATCAGAGTACTTGTTAAACTAAATGAAGCCGCCTAATTTTTAATTTTTAAAAATAAAGCAAAATTAATGTAGTCTCCATGCGTTTAATTCCATTTGGTGCAAATTCAAAGCTGCGCACTTGAATCATATCAGACTACAGAAATAATGTTATCACTATGATTTTTATTTGACTTTTTTGTTTTATGTTTATGAAATGACTTATTTCTCTTTTTATCTCGGATTTAGATAAAATTGTTCGTCAATTTTTTTTTGTAATTTGACTATTACTAAAATTTTCTGTTCTATCAGGATTAGCTAATTTGACAATGCACATCCATAAAACAAGTGAGAAAATTTTGCATATGCTAATATTGAGTTTGCAATTTTTTATATGATTACGACACTCCAGTATTTGATGAACTTGAACTATAAACGTCAGTAAAATGAAAGTTTTAGTGTCAGCTGCCGAAAAATATTCTTAAGTTATGTTTGTGTAACACTACAGGGTTAGAGTAAATAATGCTAAAAATTAGAAATTTAAGTGTTTTATTTATTCTTTGCACTTATAAATAACACTATATCAAAAGAAAAAAGGTACATTATAAAAGGGATTTTTATTATAATATGTACAATAGAATTATAATATAAACTATATAACTATAACAACAATATGTACACATACGTTACATACAAATATCGAAAATATAAATTATTGTTGAAATTGAAAGTCGAAAAAATGGACGTCGCTGACCCGCAGCTGAGATAGAGTCGGGGGTTTCATTTAAACTTGTGCTAAAGTTACAATAATAGAGAACGATCAGCAGTTCGACTCAGTCCTTGGAGCACCCAGCTGTTGGATTACTCTTTCTTCTATTTCCTGTAAACGAACAACAATGAAATAAGTCTTGTCCCGTTCCTCCACCGCAAATGTAAGACGATCGAAAGAGTAATTAATGAAAAATCTACAAGAAGTTAAATAAATTAAAAAAAAAATGAAATGAGAAGCAATGAAGTGTGTTAGTGTTAATAAGCCTCCACCATAATGTTAGTAAGAGCACCCGATAAACCAGCACCAGCCCTTCGTTTCCTTACCCTATGTATCTCTTTATTTCGCTGGTGCCTCGCCAGCAACTCGTGCTCAGTCAAGTAGGCTAGGCTCTCTGACTTAATGATAGCGCCCTCTAACTCCGGACATAGCTTAGGCAACGACGCTTGCTTTTTCTTCCTCAACAACGACTTGACGCTCCAGACGTTCGCTTTGTCCTTGTCCTTACTGTTTGCCACCGCGTTATCATCTCGATTTTGGGTGGTGCCGCTTATGTTGACTAGTGTTACTGATTTGCCTTTGGATGGGGGGTTAACTTGGGAGTAGAGGGAGATTATCGTGCCGGAATTAGCGTTATGTATCGAATAGGCCATGTCGTTACTGCTGCCGTTGAGGGACGACGTCGTGGACCAGCTGGGGGTGGGATGGGTGGGGGAGCTGTACCCCGAGGTGCTCTGGGAGTCGGGATAGTGGTGGATTATGACGCTGGAGCCCTTACCGTTCGCCGGAGGCTTGAACGTGTACAGTTCCGGTTGGCACTCTGCGAGAGGTGAGGCGATCTCGGCCAAAGACCCCACGGCACTCAACGTCTTTTCACTCTCACTCTCACTGTTCCTCCAGACCGCCAGAGGGCGCGCCTCCCTGTTGTCGCTCTTCGGCTCCGAGGGCGTCTCGATGGTGTTCGGGCTCTCCAGGTCTTGGATCAGCTGGAGGGCGGCCTCCAGCTCCTTGGAGAACTCCGCGTCGCTGCTCTTGCACGACGACTCGTGGCGACTGCTGCTCTTGGAGTCGGTCTGGGTCTTCTCGGAGACAGTGGCGCTGTCGCTGGGCGACGTCACCGAGGCCTCTTTCTTGTTGACGATGGCCCGTTGCAGCTCCTTCATCAGCGACGCGTACTGGACCTTCTCCGCGTGCGGACTGACGGACTCCACCCGTCGCATCACCATGTTCTGAGGAGTTTGATAGTGAGGCTCGTCTCTGGGGCCCGTGTTGAGTCTGGCCCGGTAGATGGTCTCCAGGCAGTCGTAGATCGGCGGATTGCCGCTCTGGTGCAAATTGATATGTGAAGAACTGGCTGACAAGTGAACCGGGGAAGCCGAACGGGAGAAACTCCTCATGTGGCACAGTTTTCGGTCGCTGTTGCTGTTGCTGTCGTCCGAAGCTTCCTCGATGTGAACGACGGGATTGTCGATGAGGTGGGTCGTGTCGTTAACTATGCCATTTTGCAGTTTTTTTGAGCGACTTTTGGGGGTGGTGCCGTTTTCGAGGATTTTTAGGTAAGGCGATTCGGCGTTGTTGGAACAGCTGGCACTGTCGGAGTCGAAGACCCAGCTCTGGGAATAGGCGTTGTAGACGGTGGTGTGAGGTTTGGCGGATTTTGGCTGAAAATATAAAAGCGTAGAGTTAGAAATTACGGAATTTGACACAGTGCATGAGATCACTTCTATATTTTACACGTTTATTTACAGAGGAAACTTTTAAACTTTATTGTAACTAGGGGCATGTGGCACGATAAAACAATGCTCATGTCCATTACGTATTCCATTTTTCGTAAACAGAAGTGCCCTACATTTTTTAATTGTCAGAAATTTGTATGGATCTAATTGTTATAAGACGGACAAAAGCTTATGCAAATTATAAAAAGTAATTAACTATAAGGATCGACATCTTCAAGTATAAGACTCACTGAAATATTCCAGTGGACACAATAGTGTCACTCAATTTACTTCAATTTTACACGCTATGTTGCATGAAATTGTTCATAACTACTCAAAAAAGGAGAGACGATTGATTCCTGTGACAAAGATGTATAAAAAAAGTGTCCCTGCCACCATAAATATTTCAATGAAGATTCTGATCACAACGAGAAGAGCTTACGAATTGGAAAAATCACATAAGTGAATAATTTCTACAATTAAATTCGCCGTCTTTTTTAAAATCTCAAAGCTTACTTGCTGAATTATGCACTCAAACTTTTACAACGATAGAGAAAACACGTCGTACGTTTTAATATAGTTTTTATAAGATTTGTAGCTGATTCCTACGCAAAGACAAAAATCTTATTTGTTTGAACGGATTTATTAAAAGCTGGAATGTAGTTGCTTGCTTTATAAGGGATGAAATGTACATCTCAACTGTATTTTAACTTTATTGTATTACGTAACGCATAACAAGTGATGGTAAAAGCAATATATTGCTTCGTTTAAGTGGTATTTGCTGCTTCCATTTATTTGTGTTTTCGCAGTTTTTGTTTACAAAAAAATTTTAGTTTGGAAAAAATAAATGTAAAACTGTCAACTGATTAAACTGATTCGTTAAAAAAAACATTTAACTACAGAGAAGGTTCGCAAGTCAAAAATACCCAAACTGCTAGTGTTTTCCTAAGTTTCTTGTAAGCACACGTTCTCTTGGCTAGTATATTTTTGGTGTACGAGATACTTGAATTTTTTTTTTTAATATTTAATAACCCCCTAGAAACTTTTATTTGTTAGCAAAATAATCTAAACTATGGATTTTGTGCAACTCATTGTATCAGTGACTAGACGTTTAAATGGCGGCGACGAAGGAGTTAGAAGTTTATTACTCAAGGGATACTATTTGCATTAACCGTCCAAGCAATTTCATAAGGTAATTGTTTTAATACTCTTGTAAGAAGCTTGAAGTTGTTTACAATTAGTAATACTCCCAAAGTGAGGCTTTGCGTTTACCAAGAAGATGCCATTGATTATATTTTAAACAGTGTTTTGTAAAAACTGCAGATCCAAAATAACAGATTAACATATTTTTTAAAATCAATGTGTTATTTTAAATGATATATCAAGATATTAAAAAATAACACTAGTTTACAAGGTTTTATATCCAAAGACAAAAATAGTTGAATCTAAAGGATTTGGGTTCGGGAAATTCAAATCTGAAAGCAGAAAAAATCTATCACGTCAGGTTTTTGAGATATTTATATAAACATACCCCGTATTTCTTTTCTTTTACACAACTCTTGTAACGTTTTTATTTTTAAATATATATGAACATATAGTTCTTTGAGCAAATTTATATCATTTTAAAAGATCATTTACGTAAATAAATAACATGAGTGTCAATTTTTCAAGCTACTAGATTGTCATCAATGTTTTATTTAAAATTTTTCAAGTATTGATTTTAGAACAATTGGTTGCTTTTGATTTTTCTACGGGAAGTGATAATAAAAATGTGAGGTTGGCCTCACAAAGATCTTTTAAAATGATACAAATTTGCTCAAAGAAATACAGGTTTATCTTTAAGAATAAAGAAGTTACAGGGGTTGTATCAAATAAAAGCAACACCCAGTATATATTATAAACATTATGATTGAAAATTAAAAATGATAAACAGTAGCGTTTCTTTTATTGACAGTACTGACAGTTTCCCTTATAATAGACCAACAGTTACACATTTTCGTCCCAAAATCCTTGATACCTTCTTTTTAAGCATATTTGAACAGGTCTTGCTTTAGATACTATAATTTTACTATAAACGTATCAAAACTGATTTGCACTTACTTTGCACGATCTCGAAGACATTTTTTATGCGACAATGGTGCATTAACATGAATCAGTTTGACACTAACGTGAAGGTAAGAGCTAAGTTCATTATTTTTGATTTATGAAAAATCTGCTGTGATAAGGATAATCCGTTTTTGGATTTGTTATCAGTAAGTAATTTAGAAGTAAAAAATATTTTTTTTATTTTTGGATACGAAAAAAAGTTTAAATTTGTAAACTAGTGTAATTTATTTCAATGCATATTGATGAATGAATCATGTCAATGACTTAAAAATTACAGAAAATTTTAATATTTTTTAATTTATTTGAGACACTTTTGTGGTAATTCTCAAAACCTGTCCGTTTTTTAAATTAATTATTTTTGTCTTTAAATTCTTCACTTATTCTCAGATTGCTTTTGAAAAGAGCTGGCGCTGTAGGTGCCATAATTTATGTGCTAACCTTTTAGAATGTATTGAATAATAAATAATTAATAAATTATCCGAACGTCTTTTTGAAATTAGTTAAAATTATCGACCCTGGCAAGTTAAGGAAAACAAGTATTAAAAATAACGGAATAATTCGCCTCTTAGATACCCAAAGACAAAATTAATCACCTTAGCATCATCTTGTCCGGAGTTTCCTTTTTTATTTATATCGTGCGATCGAAAATAAAACGAATTACGGTTGGTGTCGAGACCAATTGTACAGGTGGTACTACTACCCAACTGACACATTCCATCATTGTCAGCTGAAAGTTTGATCATATGTCAATGCCTAAAATTAAACACGTGCAGCAGATCGGATTTTTTCATCGTTACGTGTTCTGATATGTAATCGTTGACAGTCATTTTCTCCAAAACCCAAAACAAGCATCGTAACTCGATTTTATTTTATTTTCGATGGCATTTAAAAGTAAATTTGTTTGGTCCCTTATTTGATTATCCTAGACAAACTGCTTTCAAATTTCAAAGTTTTAATTAAAATGAACCTGAAAAGCGTTTAATTAAACTCTTATCGTGTTCGAAACAATTTTTCTTCTTCTTCAACATACGACACAAACACGGTTGTAATAATTTCACATTGTCTTTCAAGCGAAGCGAAATGATAACGATTTTAACATAACGAAAATTTAGTTCAAAAGTTTTTAAAGAATGATTTTGGTCACACGGTATATTTAATAATACTATAATATTCTTTTTTAATTTAAGACAGTCAGTGGGATAAAATAAAATAACTTAAGCCCTAATATTAGATTATCAGATTTATTTTCTAATTATTCGAATTTACAAAAAGGTGATCATGACGGTGCAGACTATCGTCTAGTATCATTATTACCAATTTTCCCTAAAATCTTTATGAAATTACTTTTGTGGCACTTCTTAAAATAATTCTTGGATAAAAACAGTCTATTAGCATATAATCAGGTCGCATTTGGAAAAAATAGCTCCAGGACAACTATTTCACATTTTTCTGAACTGTACACCGTTTGCTTATGTACAGGGTATCATTTTTATTTAATACAACCCCTGTAGCTTTTTTACATTTAAAGATAAATTGAGTAGATTTGTACCAATTTAAAATATCTCTCTGATTAAGAACTTAATTTTTTTAAATAGAACACTCAGTATATTTTTTCATAAATAATGGAAAGCTTGCTCTTTTATTAAAAAAAAAAACAAATAAAACCAATATTCTAAAATCAATAATCAAAAAGTTTTGTTACTTTTGTTACTTGTTATTTAAAATAGAGACATTGCTATCTGACAGCTTGAATCAAATTTTGGTATTTCCCGGTGCAGTACTAATCGTATTTTAAAGAAAAATCGTCGGCGTCCGTTTAAATATACGAAGCATCAATCTCTTAAAGCAGGTGATTTTTCTAGACAACAGGAATTTTTTACTAATAAGAAGCCAAGAAGTACAACTATTTTTCGAAAACTTCTATTTCCAACAACATGGGGTGCCACCTCACAATGTGAGAAACGTAGACATTTTTCTAATAGAAATGTTTCAAGACCAGTGACTGAGGAATAGAAGCCCAGTAAGATGGCCTCCAAGATCACTTGATTTCAACCCGATCGAATATTTCGAATGCGAATGAAAACGTGGTTGTTAATTTTTGAGGCCACTAGATTTTCATAAAAACTTAATATTATTAATTTTAGAATATTGGTTACTTTTGGTATTTTGTGGTAAAAAATACTAACGATGCATTTATTATATACTAGGTATTCCATTTAAAAACTATAAAGCTTTTGTGTTATTAGTGTGACGTTTATCTTTGTATCACCAAGTTCTTTTTATCGTATGTATTTAACTAAAACGTGTGCATATTAACTCAAAATTTTCTCAAGGTGTGGTACTAATGGTGTGCCGCAAAGGTCCCTTCTTGGGTCGTTACTATTTTTCCTTTATATTAACGATGACCCCACTGTAAGCAAGGCAGTTTCTACATTACAACAATTTAAAACAGAAAGTGATGTCTTGTCAAATGGAGCTCAATGTTGGTGTCGAAAGTAGTTTAAATTTGAATAAGATCAAAACGAAAATTATTTTGTTTAGTTTAAAAAATGTTTGTAATTGAGATACCACATCATTTAAATATCTGGGTCTATACATTGATGATTAAATTTTTTATTACGTATAATTTCTAATGTATTGACTAAGAATCGCCTATTTTACTTTAATACATTCTTCTCTAGATTAATGAAATTGTAACATGATTAATTAAAAGTTGTAGAGGCAAGCAGAGTTGTAGCAAACTTAAAGTATAGAGATTATTGCCCGGAATAATTCAAAAATTATTGAAATTTAAGGTTAAAAAATTTATGTTGGCAACACAACCGCGTTCCTTGTTGACAGTTGTGGTCAAATAATTGTCAAATAACTGTCAACAGCTGCCATGCCAACATCATTATTTTAAAAATAACTTTCATGGCCATGACCTACTAGACGACTTTTTTGCCGATCATATGGTAAATGCTTAGAATATATTACAACCGATCCCACATCTTGTAGTTATTAAACGCCGGTACATGTTAAAATTATCCAAATCCAGAAATGACACAAACTAAATTATTGCGGGACTATATATTAAACTTTATAACAAAATTCCATATCACAACTTTACCCAAGGCTACTACATTATTATCATTATTACTATTATTCCGCCAAAATACGTAACTCGGCTAACGTCTCATGAACAAAACTTCGATCGAAGCTTTTATGCCAACTGTAGTATAAATAATTGTTATTAAATTAATAATAAATATAAGTGTTCCGATAAAGTTATTGTTAGATGAACACCACGCATATTAAAAACATTAATTTCAGTGCACAATGACGTGCAACTGCCGGTCTATATTTTACAAAGTTTTCACTGACTGCGTTTAATTTCCTGTCAGTTGTAGCTAACTCGATTGGAAATTTTTGCGAACTTTGAAGTGCAATTGAACTTGCATAGTTACAAAGATAATTCTGAACTGGTTGCGGTCGCTGAAACTTTTAACTGAAATTGTCGCACTTTTACCAAGTTAACCAAGTGTGTGTATGTTTACGTCGACGTAGGTATATTCCGCACATACAGTATTCACACACTGTAATTACTTTACCCAAAGAGAATCGTCCGTACTTACACACACAATAAATCCACATGATTTCCATAATTCAAACAAAACTTAAATCTAGGGCTTGTCTGTGTCCCATTGTTTACGCATCACCTAAATTAAACGCAAATATGCCTCCTGTATTGATAAATTTCAGAACGACACACAAATACCGCAGATTTACTAAACCACTGAAACAAAGGGTCATGCAAGGATTCCGCAAGCAATAAATCACCTTCCCCGATCTAAAGCCTCTCGTCCAGTTGACTATTATTACAAAAACGATTTATAACTCACCCTAGGAATGATGTACTCAATGTCTGACACTTGTTCGTGCGATCCGTGCAACTTCTTCTTATCCTTTTTTGGCGGCGCAATCTGCATGGAACAAAACGCAAACTGGCTGTCCAAGAACGAGACTACGATGACGGCTGCTGTGGCGATTCGAGTAGCGAAACATGCTGAAATGAGAAAATGAATTATTGATGGTAGAGCGAAAAGTCGATGCTTGGTTTGGGTTAAACCGTTGGTGAGGCTGCTGCAGTGGAACTGGTCCCATTAATTAATATGTATTTTCTGACGATGGTAGTGCGGCTCGAGATCTGATGACGTCAAGGTGCAATTTAAGTGATAATCTAGCAGCGGATGGGTTTTTAAAGTTGCAAAAATCGCCGCTGCTTTTTCTGGAGTTTCGAGGAACGAGACGAGGTTTTGAAAGTTGAGGTAAACGACACGATGCTGCATCTGTTCCCGGCTACGTCTAGGTATTATATTTTTACGAAATGTGCGTTTATAAATTTTGAGGACTTGATTAAATCGGACAATAGCGTGAGTTCTTACCCTGTTTTGTTGTTGTATAATTTAAGAGTATGAACAAAAGTTTTACTTCCAGAGCGAGCACTGTAATAGGGTCATGACGAATGTCTAATTTCATGTTTAATCGACGTTTCTAAAAGGCTGTAAAATATGCAGATGTGGGTCCCACGTTTTTGTATGTCCATCTGTCGTCGATCTGTCTATGTGGTAAACACGTTATCAGCAAGATTATCTCTACTTAGTAAAGATACTAATTTTAGCATTGATAACCAAAGAAACAATTTTGAGGATCAATTTTGCTTACAAAATATGTGTTTGCCAATTTTTTGCTGCTTCGTAGAAATGTTGCTTATTATATACAGGTGTTCCAGATAAAATTCCGCGGTCTAGTATTTTGATCACGGATAGAAATATTGAAACTCTATAGACACTACTGTTTTTAGCTTGAAGGCGTCGGCAAACCTATAATTTTTTTTAAATTGCAACGTAATTTTTTTAACTCATTATTTTATTATATCATTTTCCTCAATTTACGCCACGTATTTCTTTTGCAGAGTTGATAAGGGTGTCTTTAAAAAAAAAAACACTTTTATTCTGAGTTTCCTTATGTCATTTCTTTTTGTCCGATTTTATCATCCACCTTTTCTATACACTTTCGTTTTATTTCAGTATTTCTTAATTTATGTATTTTTATTCTCTGTAGTTTCTTTAGTAGTGTTATTTTTACGTAATTTTTAGTTTACAGAACCAAGCAATCACTACCTGTCGCATATCCTTTTCAATCTAACATCTCTGATTCGATATTTTTCTGGTTTGTGGACTATCGTGTGGTCTATTACTATTGATCTTACTTAAGGTGTTAGTAATTATCGTGTTATTGTCGTTATTCCATTCTTTTTTATATGCTCTTTTCCGTATTGCCCTATCACATTATTCCATCTTTTTGGTTTATTGTCTACTGTTGTCCTTATGTCACCTGCTGTAATTACCTTTCCTTTACATGTTTCTATTGTTTCTTGTAGTTTTTCCCAAAATTCTTTTTTTTTACTTCTAGCACCTTCCTCTGAACCGTGGCATATTATCAGGTTTGTGATTTCGTTTTTTGTTATTTCTAGTTGTACTTTCATTTATCTTTAATTGATATTTTCCCATTCTCTAATTGCGTTCATGTTGCTTTTCTTTATTAAGCAGGCCACTCCTCATTTCGCTCTTTCTTTAACTCCACTAAATATTAATAAATGTTCATCTTTAATTCCTTTCTCTTTTTTTTTTTGTTTCTGAGAGGACTAATATTTCAACTTTTGTTTTCTATATTTCTTTGATGAATTCTAGCTCATCTCCGTTTATCCCTCTTATGTTCCTAAAGCCAGTGTGTTTTACGTTGTCTATTTTCTTTGCCAAGATATCTTTGTTTTTGTTGTCTTTTAGTTCTTTGGATTTCCTTCTTTCTGTTTTTCTTTTATTGTTCCTTCTTTTTTAAGCATCTCTCTGTGCGATTTTCATTTTTCAATATATTTTATTTTCCATAGAGATGGTTTACTTTGTAAATGTTTTTAGAAAAACACGAGCAAAAACGCAACATGAAATAACTTGAATACAAAACATAGTTTAAAAAATTGGTCTAAAGTTACTTGGACAGAACTTCCTTCGACCTTGAAGGTCAGGTGACCAAATACAGATTCTTCGAAAAATTATAAATTTGGCGAATTTTATTTTTCTATGATATTTGATAACATGTGCAAGTTAAAATTAAGATATGTCTGGAAGTACAGGTAAAGAAGCATTCTATGCGTACATTTCAAGTGAGTTTTACGATACCAAATTTTGTGATGACGTCATCAACATTTTAAAAAGGCACATATCCGGTATTCAACTGAAAAAAATCATCTAGTTGGCGTTGTTTTGTTGATAGAAGAAAAGGTGGCGAGGAACGCATGTGTTTTTTTAATTCATACTGTTGTGTATAATTAACATGTTTGCACTGTCAGCTATAATCGAGTAGATTTTAGGTTTATTGTAGATATACGTCACAATGTTTACAAAAAATCAAGGCAAGTTGATGACTTTTTCAATTGAACACCCGATATGTATATCAATTTAAATAGATACAGAGTAATGCTAATAATATGGGTACTGTGTACTCAAATTTTCGACAAAATTTTGAGATGGCGTTGTCCACTCTTTGGGGGAGAATAAACGAATAAATTCTGATTAAAAATTTACAATGCTACGATCACCTTAAAATGTCTGCAAGATACCAGAGCATTTCGTTGCAAAATATTGTCACAATTTTGATTTTTTCCTCAAAACTTTGGATGTTGAGGGTAAAAACTCAACACGGACTTGAAACCCGCAAGTACAGGAGTCTCTCATTTTACAAAATTTAAATAAGATTTACTATTCTAAATTTTGGAGAAGATGTCATCCTGTTGTTGATGGGGATGATTAACCAAATTTTGGCTAGCGTTTTACCATTATTCTTAATATAGGTACGTTCAAAATTTGACAACAATTGGTCCAGTAGTTTTTGAAATTATCTGTCTAACAAAAATCATAGACACAGATCACTGACAATAGACAGACGCGAGACCATTTTTTTCATACTCCTCGGGCCATAAAACGTGGAGAAAACATGAAAGTAGCGAGTCGCCCGATGGACTCGATTACAATACTTCTTTCGCTTACGCTCGGTAAGTAAATATAGAAAATATAATCAAGAAGACTTCCTGAAGGAAATAAAGCTGATAAAACAGGAAAACGAAAGAATGAAAAAAACACTGACTAAACAAGAAATGGCTGCAAAAAAGAAATGTTAGATAAAAATTGAAAAAAATCAGATAAAAAACGACATGGTACTAATACCTAAGAAATTTCTGTATAGACGATTTTAGAAAGATATTGAACGAGAACAAGTGTAGACTCACAATAGATATTTTACAGAGGATAGTTTGTAATATTCTAGGGCAATAGATTTTGCAGTTTTTAGGTTGTTTATGTTTTTATGTTCATATAAAATTTTGATTTCGCTTAGGCTTGGGAAGTATTGTAATCGAGTCCGTCAGCCGACTCTTTACTTTTACGTTTTCTCGATCTTTCATGACCCCTAGAGTACGAAGAAATAGGTCTCCCGTTTCCGTCTGTCTGTCCGTCTGTCTGCCATCTTAATTTTGATGAGACACATCATAATCTCCGAAAGTACTGGGCCAATTGTTGTCAAATTTTGTATTTATATTAGGAACATCATATAGATGGTAAATCGCTAACCAAAGTTTGTCTAATCATCGCGACATCGTACATAGAATATGGATTTTAAATTGTATAAAATAACATAGTCCTACACATGTAGTTTATGATTAATAAATATCCTACCTAAAATGTGCTCATCCCCCCTAAAAAACTGATGAGGTCACCTCAAAATATTGCTGAATATATCTTAAATGTGCAAAATATGATAAGTCTATACTTGTAATTTATTTTTAATATATAATTAATGTTTTTTAATAAAAAAAAAACAGCTTACCCAGGGTGTCTCAGAAAAATTAATGACTAAGTTGTTAAAAAATAAATATCCAATCAGATTTAGGAATTTAATTCGTTACTATGGAAATCTGCAATTTAACACCTTTTAAATTTAACAAGTTTTCACAAGTTTAATAAGGGCACAATCAGTCTTATCTTAGCAAGTGCTAGCCCCCCCCCCCCTACTTTCTCAGAGTTTATGTCATTTGTCAAAATAATTTTTACCTTTGCAAGTACTAGCCCAACCCACCCACCCTCTATTTTCTCAGAGTTTATGGCATTTGCCAAATCAGTCTTATCTTAGCAAGTGCTAGCTCCGCCCACTCGTCCTCTATTTTCTCAGAGGGTATGATGTTTGCCAAAATCAGTCTTCTCTGAGCAAGTGCTAGCCCCGCCCACCCACCCCTATTTTCTCAGAGGTTATGTCATTTGCCAAAATAAGACTTATCTTAGCAAGTACTAGCAAGTACTACCCTCTGAGAAAATAAAGGGCGGGTGGGCGGGGCTAGTACTTGCTAACATAAGTCTTATTTTGGCAAATGACATATCCTCTGACGAAATAGGGGCCGGGTGGGCGGGGCTAGTACTTGTTAAGAAAAGACTGATTTGGCAAATGACATACCCTCTAAGAAACTAAGGGTGGGTGGGCCGGGCTAGTAACTTGTTAAGATAATACTTATTTCGGCAAATGACATTATATTTCCTCTGGGAAAATAGAGGGCGGGTGGGCGGGCCTAGTATTTGTTAAGATAAATGATTTTGTCCCTACTAATCTTGTAAAAACTTGTGAAATTTAAAGGTGTTAAATTGCAAAATTCCATAGTAACGAGTTAACTTCCTATGTCTACCCCTAATTGCAAAATATGATGAGTTTTTACTCGTGATTTTTCATTGCATTCATATTTTTTACATTTGTGTATACAGGTAGCTCAAAAAAATTGATGAATATGTAAATTTATTGATTAAATCAGGAACGGCTCACTCCATTTTCTCAGAAAATTTTGGGAATACAATACTGTAATTTTTAGTGTTACAGTATACCAATCCAAGCTGACATACGTGTCCTTGCAAAAATGTTGATGACGTCATCACAAAATTCTGTAAAATAAAAACTCAACTTAAAATT